CTGTTATAGTTATTAGGTGCCGTCAAGTTGGCTCCGACTTATATCGACCCTGTGTAAAACAGAATGAAACACTGCCTTGTCCTGAGCCAGCCTCACAATCCTTGCTATACCTGCACCCATTGTTGTAGCCACACTGCCAATTCGTCTTGCTGTGGTCCTTCCCCTTTTTCTCTGACCCTGCACTTTCCAAAACCAAACCAAACTCACTACCGTTGAGTCATTTCCAACTCATAGCAACTCCTCCTTGGGTTTCCGAGGCAGTATCTCTACAGAAGTTGATTGCCCAACTTTCCTTCTGAGGAGTGGCTGGTGTGTTTGAACTGCCAGCCTTCTGGTTAGCAGTCAAATGCCTTAGGCATCACGCCACCAGAGCTCCAAGCATGATATCCTTCACCAAGGAATTGTCCCTTCTGACAACATGATGAAAGTAGGCACGACAAAGTCTGGCCATTTCCAAGGAGGAAAGACCTCTAAGAAATATTTTCAGTAAAAAGTGTAAGATGTAGAACAGTACACATAGTATATTTTGTGTTAATGGAGTCCCTGGGTTGTACAAATGGTTAAGTGCTTGAGTACTAGCTGAAAGGCTGGTAGCTTGAACGCACACAGAGGCACCTTGGAAGTCAGTCCTGGCAATCTACTTCCTAAAGTTCACAGCCTGGAACACTCTATCTCTACTCTGCACACACAGGGTTGTCCTCAGTTGGAATCAATTCAATTGCAACTAGCAACAATATTTTGTATAAATATAAAGGGAATATATTTATTTATATATTTGTATTTGCATAAAGCAACACTAAAACAATATAAGGAAGAAGGAATCATGCAAATGATTACCTATAGGGACAAAGAGTAACAGGGTAACAGGTCAGGAGAGAATGCAAGACTAGTCTGCATATAACTTTTCATATAGCTTTGACTTTTGAATCCAGAAAACAGATTATCTATCTAAAAGTTAAATAAAAACCAAAAAGATCTTTATAGAGTCATCACCTATCAAAAAATCTTTTCATTTTTAAAGTCACCTCTATTAAATCAACACACTTTTCAAAATTCTATGATATTTACAATACCTTCTCTAATGATTGCAATTGGAAAAGCTCATCTACCACCACATCATTCAAACACTTGTTTGTGCATTTGACTTATCAAGCACTTTTCATGCCTTGATGGGTAAGGGCTGATCTTGACACTGATATGCTTGATTTTACAGGCAGCAAAGGCAGTGGAATAGGAGGACTGAACACTTTAGGAGAGAGTTCTCTAATCTCTAGGACACAGAACGATTGATCAAAAAAGACTGAATAAACAGAAAACAGCCAGCATCTGGACATCTGAGCACTTACCCAGCCTCTCCTGCTGCCAGGCATTGCCACCACTGATGAAAGGAGGAGTTGAGGGCAAAAAGTCAATTTTTCAGGAAAGCTCCTGAGGAAAAGCAGCGGTTTTTTTGGGTTGTTATGGATCCTTATGATTCCGAGGCTTGTCCATAAAGAACAATTGTCTTCAGCAGGATCAAAGACCAAAAAAGAGTATTTCAGGCTACCCACAGTCAAAATGTATTCTATCCTTCTCACTTATAAAATTTGTTTAAAATCCATCTATGAGTTCCTTACTCCTAGAATTTAGGCATCAACACACCCTCTCTTTTTGTTATCTTATTCCATCTTCCAACTTTTCTACCTCTCTTTTTATCAATTATCCTCAAACTCTCCTTCCTTCAAAAGAAGCTATCAAAGAATTCCTGTTGCCCCCTAAGTTTTTCTAGGTGTGTTCTAGTCCTCAAGATTGGTGGCCAAATACCAATGTCAAAATATTTTTCACCTCTGTATTTTGCTAAGAAAGAAACATGTTTACTTCATTCTTGCCCCACTTCTCTTTTAATTCTATAGTGAAGTGTTTTGAGCCAGCAACTTCTTTCTATCTATAAAAAAACAAAAAACAAACTCACTGCTGTTGAGTTGCATCCAACTCATAGTGACCCCTGCTTGGGTTTCTGAGGCTGTATCTCTACGGAAGTAGATTGCCCAGTCTTCCTTCTGAGGAGTGGCTGGCACCAGCCTTCTGTTTAGCAGTCAAATGCCTTAGGCACTACACTACCAGAGCTCCCACCAGAGCTTAGGGAGAACTTTATCTATAATCTATCCTCTTAACACAAACACTCCTGTCCTAGATTGACATTTAAAATACTACTAGCAATTAAGAACATATTTATACGTTATGCCATTGTAAACCCTTGAATATAATGTACGTAGTGCTGGGCTGTCTCTCATTGGAATTTGCTAAAGCATACATAACTTTCTTTAGGCGAATGCCTGAAATCTTAGGATAAGTTTCCTGGTATTCTTAGGTCCATCACTGATGTTCCAAATACACTGAGTAAGGTGGAACAGCTGGTGAGTAGAGCTGACACTGTAGTTGGCTATGAGCCACTATAATCAAGGCCCAGTAAAAGTCTAGAAGAGCAGAGAGTACTTGATTTATTTTTAAAGAAAGTAAGGCCATCTGATAGATTTCCAGCTGAAAACTGGTCAAGGCTGGAGTTTGGTTCAATGAGACCATAATGCATGCCAATTCTTATTTTCCCATGGCTGACTGTCAGCTTTGGCCCAAAATGCTACAGCCTTTCCCATAAGGCTAACCTGGGACATGACACAAGAAAAGAAAGGCCTTTCAGGAATTAGATGAGTAAGTGAAAGGCTTCCAAGTCCAGTCCAGACTGCCAGTCAGCGAGGCAAACACTCAAATCATAATACCTGATTTACAATAGGCAGAAAAGAGAACCTCAGCTCCTCTATAATTCATACTCAATCTAGATGTCCAGAAAACAGTGGTATTATGCTATCAAATTTGCCAAGTCAACACCAGATGCTTATAATAGTTAGGAAAATATAAAGTTTGAGGTGGAAGATATAGTTATTTTTCCAAACTTCTCTGAAATAAGGAATGAGAATACTTTGTGTAAGGGCTGGTGAGTAACACATGCGACACTGGGAATACCTGGTCAAGGATGGCTTTCATCACCAGCTAGTGCCAGTCTCTGTGCCTGATTGAATATTTACTTCCTTTCTAGACATCTGGAATATAATTAAGCTCACTGGCTTATGCTACTATTTGAAAATCCAGAAAGCAAATGGTTTGAATCCCAGTTAACCACTAAATATTTGGCCTCTTAGTGTTAGTTTCTTGGGGTTCAATTTTATCACCAGTTATAGTAAAGCAGACTGACCTTGGAAGGCAGTTGTAAGGGCTCATGGGTAAACATGTTATGATTAGGAGAAAGCAAGTACAATATTTTGCCATTTTAAGTGCTCTAGTTCTTGTGGAAGAGTCCCTGAATAGTGCAAATGGTTAAGAATTGGCTACTAGCTGTAAGGTTGGCAGTTTGAACTGCCAAAGGTACCTTGGAAGAAAGGTCTGGGGATCTGCTTCTGAAATGCCACAGCCATAAAAACCCTAATGAGCATATCTCTACTCTGCACACATGGGGTTATCATGAGTCAGAGTTAACTTCACAGCAATTGATTTGGTTTGGGTTTGGCTGTCCCAGTGACTGCTCATTGACCTCCATACTTGTCTAATCAACTGACCACAATAATAACATTCACCTAATGAGTGCCTACAATGTGACAGGCATTTGCATACATTATATCGTGTAGTCTTCGCCAGAGCCTGTGAAATAGAAATGAACATCCTCTAGGCTGAGACTAGAAGGTGACTTACCTAAGGCCATACAGCAAATAAATCGTGGCTCTGGATTTGAACTCTTACTTAGACTTCAGAACCTCTCTTTGCGTTTTGTATGAGTGAATGACTTTTATTGTTGCTGCTGTTTTTGTCAAGGACACTTTCCTTTTTCATTCTCTTCCTCAAACATATATATACAGCAGAAGAATGAATGCCCCGTTGTGTTCACAGGTAAACCAGTCACTGATACACAGTGATTTATGATGGGACATTAGAAAGGATGCTATTTATTTTCCTTTGGATTTATCTCAGGGGAAAGTGAGCTAATAAATGTAAGTCATAATCTGTTGCTGTTGAATCAATTCTGACTGTTTCCAAGTAGAACTATGTCAGAGTACAACTGTGCTCCGTAGGGTTTTCAATGGCTGAGTTTTCAGAGATAGATCACAAGATCTTTCTTCTGAGGTGCCCCTGGGTGGACCCTAGCCTTCAGTTAGTAGCTGAGTGTGCTAAACATTTACACCACCCAGGGCCTACAAAAGTAGATAATGCATGTAGGAAAAAAAGTTTTAAAAAAGAACATATCCCTAGAAATGAAATAAAATAAACTATGTGAATTGTACTTTGGACTTCTGAATACGAGGTGTAACTGCTCTCAATGAGTTTTGCAATGTTCCCATGAGAACTGCACTGACTTAGATCTCAGCTGCTCAATGCTGAGCTGTAGGCTTCATGCATCTCCTATGCATCATTAATACGAAAAATTGTGAGCATTCTAAATTCAGCCAAGTTCTTCTGCTTTCCAAAAGGACTCAGGCGCGGTTCAATCCATATTTTCAGAGACTTTTCACTTAACAGTTTCTCTCAGCCCTGGTTAACACCCTCCCAGCCTTGCCAGAAGTTGAGCACTTCCAAGGGTCTGGCAGGTCCCCACATCTGTGCATGAGTCACCTGTGGGAGGACAAGGTGGTGTTGCTCACAGGCAAGAAGACTCTGGATCCAAAAGAAATTGGCTCAATACCTCACTGGTTCTCCTCCCATTGTATTGCTTCTCTTGCTTTTGTCTATCTTACTGACCTTTAAACCATAGAGTGTTCACATATTTTTATGTTTTTCAGCACTGAAACTTAAACCAGAAAAATCTCTGCATGGTTTTATAAATAGGTAAGCAAACTGACCTGTTTTACTGCAGGGCAAAAAGGTCGTCCGGTCATCTGAATTCCCCTTTTGGTTCCCCACCCCACTCTACCCTTCTCATAAAGTTTATCTCCCCCCAGATATGAGAAAGACAACAAAAATTTTTTTAAGAGAACCTAGCTGAAAGTGGTCGATTTTCATGGTGCTGTTGTTGACAGGGCCGAAGATGGTGATCACGGAGATTTTCCTGGTGGCCATTTTGCAGAAACTTTCCAGATACTCATCTCGCTGTTGCACATACATGTTGTTTTCAGCCTTAGGAGCAGTGATCAGCTGGAGGTGGGTGAAGGCAAGCATAGATTAAATAACAGTGATAGTTTCACATAAAGGTAAAAGCTGAGTGAATGATTTAGAACAGAGGGCTGCTGGTGACTGATGTCCAAACCACTGCCTATTCTGCTGGGTAGTTAGCAAAATTAGGGCCAAGAAAGATTATTTTAAAAAGTTTTTTTTTTTTTTTCCTTTCCCAGTGGTACCAGACAGCTTGGAGTTTTTCACTCACTTCCACTATTTACCTTCATTACTTCATTTCCCTGTGTCTCGGTTTTCTTGTTTGTGAACTCTGTAGTAGGAAGATTTATTTTGCAAAGCTGTTGTAAGCTTACAGTATAATAAGTGTTCAACAAATATTTTCTCCCTTCCTTCATTTGATCTTTCTTGTCCCGACTGGCTGATCAGACATTCAGATTATGTGGTTACTATTGCCATTTCTTGTTAAACAGGGTTCAGAGTGTTTCATGTGCATGCCTTGCATACTATGGGACATTCTATGGCTTAGAGTATTTTATCTAGGCACTCTTGGGGAGAGTTTTTAGGACGGTTTTATGGCCTATGTTTTGTCATAGAAAATATTCATTGTCATGACATGCTTATTTGGAATGCCCAGTGAACAGCTTTTGATATTGGAGGATAGTTTTTGGTTCTTTCAGTCAGTCCAGCCTTCTCTCCAATTTAGGCCTCATATTTTTTATTTAGTCTCTTATCTTTCAACCTGAGAAGGCCTTAGCTCTTCTACAGTCATAGCCCCTGCCTTTTTCTGGGGAACAAGGGGGAAGAGAGAAATCGAAAGAGGTGTTTCAGTCACTAGCCATCTGGGAAAATATTTATTTTGTTATTTTGCATAAAAATGAGGATACTCCTATATTTTAGAGATCCTCTTGAACCTTCTCTCTAAGAATGTCTCCATGTTTTTGAGCCAGCCTAATATAAACGTCCTCGACTTTTAGTGACTTTTTTTGAGCCTTCTCCAATATCACCAGATTTTTCATGAGCTGAAACCAGAACTGTGTACCATATGCCATGAGTGAGTGGGCATGGTGCTTTCCACTTTGGAAGTGGAGAGATGTGAATTTTATTTTTCTAGCCCCTCCCGATGACACCAGCTAACTGGGCTAATGTTTGCAGTAAGCACTGTCTACTTACCCTTTCTTGATTCACCACTAAGCTCATAAGCAAGCCTCTTTTAATTACTTTTCCTTAAACATTTTCTTATATTTGACCACATACTAATTTATAAGGTACTTTTCTACTTACCCATCTAGCCTTATAAAATATTTCAGCGGTTTGTGGCTAATACCAGTACCAGTGCCAGTTGCTGTAAAAACAACTATCTCGTGGCAATACCGTATGTGCTAGAGTAGAAGTGTGCTCCATAGGGTTTTCAATGGCTTAATTTTTATAAAAATAGTTTGTGAGGTTTTTCTTCTGAGGTGCTTCTGAGCGGATTCAAAACCCTAACATTTCAGTTAGCAGCTCAGTGTGTTAACAATTTGCACCACCCAGTCTGGAATTTTTCTGAGGGGAAGACACCATGTTGTTAAACCTCTTCCAGATACGTTATCAAAAATACTTAGTAGCGCTGGTGCCAACTTCTCCCTGCTGCTTATTTTTCTCTGTCAGAGATGTGTTTAATGCTGCATGTGGGCTTTCCCTCCCAAGACTTCTTTATGCATGATGTTATCCCTCATGGAAATGAAGATGTGTTCAATGGCCTTAGAGTAGAACATTAACAAAGGTTTTCAGGATGAAGTTATTTTCTCCATTATTTATTTTAATTAGAAATGATATAGCTTATCTTTTATTTTTGTATATATGACTATTCAGATGGGCATGGTGAGTAGGAAATGCTTGTTTTAGAAACATAATTTCCCAGGGGAAAAAAATAATAATTGCTTATCCAAATTTATTCATTTATTCATATTTGTATGTGTGTGTGTGTGTGAGGTGTTGTTAAGTTGGTTCCATGCTTATATGTATGTTCAGATGGACATGCTGAGTAGGAAGTACTTGTTTTAGAAATGTAATTTCTCAAAGGGAAAAAAATATGACTTCCTCAAATTTACACATTTATTCATATTTGTGTTTGTGCATTAGGTGCTGTTGAGTTCGTCCTGACTCATTGTGCAACAGAATGAAACACTGCTCAGTACTGTGTCGTGCTCACAGTCTTTACTATGCTGGATCCCATTGTTGTAGTCACTGTGTCAATCCATGTAATTGAGTGCCTTCCTCTTTTTTGCTGAGCCTCTCTCTAGTTTACGAGCATGGTCCTTCTCTAGGGACTGTTCTTTCCTGATAACCTGTCCAAAGTACACATGGTGAAGTCTCCCCATCCTGCCTTCTAAGGAGCATTCTGGCTATACTTTTTCCAAGACTGATTTCTTTGTTCTTCTGGCAGTCCATGATATATTTAATGATCTTCACCAACACCGTACTTCAAAGCCATCATTTATTCTTCTGTCTTCCTTATTCATTGTCTAGCTTTCACCTCTGAGGAGATTGAAAATATCATGGCTTATGACACCTCTGCTTCTTAACATTTTAAAGAGGTCTTTTGTAGGAGATTCACCCTTTTGATTTGACTCAACAGCAGTGAGTTTGGTTTTTTTTTTTTTTTTTGGTTTGCTCCCATGGGTATTAATTGTGGATCTAAGTAAAATGAATTCCTTGACAACTTCAATCTTTTCTCCATTTATTTTGATGTTGCTTATTGGTCTAGTTGTGAGGATTCTTATTTTCTTGATGTTGAGGTATAATCCATACTGAAGGCTTTAGTCTTTGGTCTTCATCAGTAAGTGCTTCAAGTCATCCTCTCTTTCAGCAATCAAGGTTATGTCATTTGAATTTCATAGGTTCTTAATAAGTCTTCCTCCAATCCTCCACGTTCTTCTTTGTGTAGTCCAGTTTCTCTGATTATTTGCTTAACATACAGATTGAATAAGTGTGATGACAAGATACAACCCTGACACACAACTTCCCTGATTTTAAACCATGCAGTATCCCCTTGTTCTGTTCCAATGACTGCCTCTTGGTCTATGGACAGGTTCCACAGAAGCACAATTTAGTTCTGGAATTCCCATTTTTCAAAATGTTATCTATAAATTGTAATGATCCTGTGGTGTAGTAAATTATATAGTGTGGCTTTTCAAGCTGTAAGTCTTTGTAAACGCCTTGGTGGAATTTGCCATGTGCAACTGAGCAGCTCCTGATTGTTAAAGTTATCCACCTGGGGTATTTCTCTTGGGAGCAGGATAAAGTAACTTTTTGGAAAGTTCGCTCTCTCTCAGGTGTTTAGAATTCTGATGTTGGGATTGGTTAGTTTGGTCACTCTGCCAGGTTCAAAAGGAGCCCTCCTAGAGACAGAAGAAATCTCTCACTGCTGGTTGAGGGATGTGAGAGACACACATTGCTGAGAGAGAGATGTGAGAGACACAAACTGCTGAGAGAGACACTGAGAGACATGCACTGCTGAGAGAGCGAGAGAGAGAGAGACACCAAGAGACAAGCACTGCTGGGAGAGAGACTGTCAGCTGAGAGATGGCAGGCTGAGAGAGACTGAACACGTTCTTGAACTTAAATTGTAGCCTGTTGTTTCCCTAATAAACCTCATAATCTGTGAGTTCTGTCTGGCCATTGAAGAAAATTACTGAACCCAGCAGAGAGATGGTAGGTGCTGCAGGAGGAGCAGTTGGTGTCAGGATTGGTGAAAGAGCTGGATGGAGGCAGCATGTTTGACCTCACAGGAATAGGCTTTGGGCTACTGATGGTGATTCTTTCTTTTGCGGGGTTAGAAGAGGTCAGAAGATGTGGCCTCCTTGCCCCTTTGGCAGATCCAAACAGTCACATGCCTTTGCATAATCAATAAAACACAGGTAAACATCTTTGTGGTATGCTCTGTTTTCAACCAAGATCCATCAAACATCAGCAATGATGTCCTTCATTTCATGTTCTTTTCTGAATCTAGCTTGAATTTCTAGCATTTCCCTGTTGATGTACTGTTTCAACCAGTTTTTAGTTATCTTCAGCAAAATTTGACTTGCATGTAATATTAATGGTATTGTTTGATAATTTCTGCATTCTTTTGGGCTTTCTTTGGAACAGACACAAATATGGACTTCTTCTAGTCAGTTGGCCTTAGCCGTTAAAAAAGATGTAAGATGATTGTAAAAAAAAAAAATGGCAATTTTGATTTGGTTGTTTGTTTTAATTAGCTATATAAAATTTAAAAATATTTCTTCAGGCTTTGAGGGTAGCCAAATCTTGGAGTTTTATTTTCACTTAGCGTATTTTAGGTTTTTATTTTTGGCTGATCTTTGTTCATAAACACATTATTTTAAAATAAATAAAATGAGTGTTTAAATGAAAACATAAGACAGTCAAAAACAAATGTAAGAGGAAAATATTTACTGTTAATAATCTCACACTCTCTAGCCATAAGTCAGAATTGACTCAACAGCAATAGCTTTTTTTTTTTATTATTATTCTGAACTAGAAGTCCCTGGGTGGGGCACATGGTTAATACTCATGGCTGCTAACTACAAGGGTGGAGGTCGAATCCACCCAGAGGTGCCCTGAAGAAAAGCCCTGGTGATCTGCTTCAGAAAAAAATTAATCATTGAAAACCTTATGGAGCAAAATCTACTTTCACACACATAGGGTCACACCATGAGTCAGAATCAACTCAGTGGTAACTAGTGGTAGTGGCTAATTCTAAGTTAAGCATAAGCTTATACTTAGAATATATTTTGAGGATTCCCTGCAGCACACCTGCCCAGGTGCTAGCTAGATCACTGATAATTACCTGGCTCTATAAATTCAAAACCATTCATAACCCCCATTTCATTTATCTTATACTCTGACATGAATTCTTACAGCTCTCAGACAGACCATAATAAGACAGTCCCTCTAGTCTTCTTCCCCTTGTGCACAGTTAAGAAATTCACATAACTTTACCCTATTCTATGTAGCTCCTCCCCTGTAGTTCTGCAAACAGT